CTTAACCGTTCGGTTGAGGGTGGTAAGGAGGAGAATGGAGATGCTTGATGGTTAGCCGTTTGCAAAAATCTAGGAATTGAGTTAAGGCGAACTGTATAATGGGAACAATTTCTGACCATTTTGAAAATGCGTCAACCACGACTAGATAGACGGTTCCATTGATTGAACAGGCAAAAACGGCATGTATCCTGGACCAGGGATACTCAGGCTGTGGCCATGGGACCGGCGGCACTTTCGCGTTGAAATTCACCGCTTGCTGACACTGTGTGCATTTGTCTACTAAGTCCCCAATGTGTTGGTCCATGAGAGGCTAATAAGCGTAGCTTCTGGCCATGGATTTAATTCGTTTTATACCAGGATGACCAAAATAGAACTCTGGCATCACCACTCTATCTCCAAACATCAAGCATTCATTCAAGACACATAATGAGTCTCGATGGTGGTAAAGCTGCTTTATGTTATCATCGAGTTCATTTGACGGCCAGCCATTGATGACTTAGTTTATCGTTTTCTTGATGATGGGGTCATTCCTGGAGGCAGTTTGTATCTTAGATGCTGAGACTGGCAAGGCACGAACAGCAGTTGTCAGATAACAATGAGCGTGGTCTTCTGCTATAAGGGAGACGATGACTGCATCTTCATCAGCCGTAGGGTACTCGCTGGTAAGTCGTGACAAGTCCTCTGCCTGATCAAACTGTTGGGTGCGCCGATATTGAATGTCAAAATCATAACCCGAAAGTATCAAAGCCCATCGCTAGAGACGGTTTGAAGAGTGAGCTGGAACACCGGATTTCAAACCGAAAATTGTGAGGTTAAATCTTCGATTGTATAGGAATTTATGGAAACGACATACTGCAAACACAAGGACGAGAGCCCCTTTCTCTATTCGGCTGTACTTCCTTTCTGCTAGAGGTAATGTGTGAGATGTATGCGCATTAGCTTTCTCTGTCGTGTCCGGGAACTGGTGTGACATGACAGCACCGAGTCCAAAAGCTGAAGCGTCTGCAGCCACAATGATTGGCATGGATGGATCGTAGTGCGTCATTAACACTTCCGAGCTAATGATTGTCTTCAGCTTGCAAAAGACAGCTTTACACTCTTTTTTCCAGTCCCAACTAGTATTCTTATTAGGAAGATAATTTAGTGGGGCACAAATATCATGCATCGATGGAACAAAAGCTGAATAATAACTGACTAATCTCAGAAATGACCGGAGAGCGGAGGCACTGTTAGGAGTGGGCATCACTTTTATAGCTTGGATGTTTCCAGGGTCTGGTCTGCGACCTGCAGCATCAAGGGTGAATCCCAAATATTTTGCTGACTTCAAGAAAACCTGGCATTTTTCTGGGCGTAACCGGAACCCGTTATCGCTGATGCGTTACAGTACAGCTGTCGTGCGTTCCCGTAGCTGTTCTAACGATTTGGCAACAATTAAGATGTCATCGAGATAGGTTATGATCCCCGGGATACCCGATAGGGTGGTATCCATTAGTTGCTGGAAAAATAGATGGGGCGATTATACTAAAATAAGCCACGATGTGTGTTGATAGTAAGTAGCTCTCCCGGTTCTTCAGCCTCTTCCACTTGTAAATAGGCATCAGCAAGATCCAGCTTTGCAAAGAACTTTCCACCACTTAGCATAGTGAACAAATCTGCAGGGACTGGCAGTGGGTAATGATGCTGTTCGAGAGCTGCGTTAAAACCTATGGAAAAATCTGCGCATATTCAGGTTGTGCCACTAGCCTTCTTAATAACCACAATGGGTGCTGCCCAAGCAGAATGTGATGTTGTTCGCCCAGTTGTCCAGTGCTTCTTAAGTTTCAATTTCATCTTTGCGACTATGAAGTGATGACCTAATGCTATATCAGCTCCTCTCTTGGTTCTCACATCCTCCATCGTCCTCCTGAACTTTTTGTTGATGCAGATATGGTTGATTTGGTTTTGTGTAGTGTGATCCGGTGAAGTCCATGTAGTTTTGTCTATGCGTTTATGTGGGAATATGGTGCCGCCCATGACCAGTTTATTGAAGCCACGTAGGTTTGCAAATCTTTCACCATTTTCGTTTCTTTCTCCCAGTCCATGTCATCCAATGATATCTTCTTATCCGGTGTTGTCCATTCCAACTTTGGCATCCAGGTCTCCCATCAGAATGGTCAAGTCCTTTGTTGGGCAATTCTCGACGATTGACTGCAGCCTATCATAGAATTGATCTGAAATGTCTTTATTGTAATCGTTAGTAGGCGCATAGCATTGGATAACTTTCATTGTAATGCCCTCTTTGTTTTAAAGGAGGTTTTGATGATCCTTGGTCCATGGGAATCTCATCCTATAAGTGAATTTTGTGCCTGTGTATGTGGGGTATTTTTTTCTTCATGGCCGGAATATAACAGAATCTCCCCTGAAGATAGTCGTCGTTGTCCAACTTGCATCCAATGTGTTTCACTGATTCCGAGCACCTCCAGGTTGTTTCTCTTCATTTCTGCAGCAATTTGGAAGACTCTCCCGGTCTTCCACATTGTACGAGCATTCCATGTACCTAAATTAATGTTTGCTCTGGTTGTCAGAAAGGGCATCAGCCTCGTGGCTTCCTTAGGAACTCAGCTTTCATCATGGGACCACCTACAGGAGACTAAACAGAGACGCGAAATAATTCTATACAGTCAATGTTTTTTAGATAGAGCCTTATTGATAAGTGCTTACTACCTGGTTGAGGTCCTCGCAATTATCGTGGCCAATGATTGCAGACGATGGTGATGTGGCTTAAATACGTTCCCTTCATTCACTCTTTTTTCTGGAGTCACATTGTTCAGGCCCAATGTTTCTACAATCACTGATGCTGTTACAAATTCCACAACTCTAGCCTTTTTTATAGCAATTTCACCTCGCTGTGTTGAAATAGTGTGATAATATGGATCAATATAAATATGTACCAGGTTCTAAGTTGTTTATGATCAAGTGATTGTTATGTTAGGATCCTCTGTAAGGAATCTATTTGGAGACTAATTTTTCCAGTAAACGTATCACTGATATTCACCAAATCACTTTTATTGGAAACCTTGTGAAATTTAAAAATATATCTCACCACCAAAAGACATTAAATGTGGAGAAGCATTATCCTGAAATGAGATAATCGTAACTACTACGAATATTAAACAAATGGAAATATATTATTTTGAAACAAGCATTAACTGTAATATTAACACATAAAAACGTTCAATTAGATCAGTTACGTTTTTAGTAAATTAATTAAATGAGAATGTGCCATTTTGTTTAAATTTATTACATCAAGTGGCTGAAGAAAAACAAGAACAAGGAGAAGAAGAAGAAGAAGAGGAAAAGGATAAATAAGCATATAACAAACACTAAATCTTTAAATATTGAAGATTAAAACAAGAATAGTTTGAGTAATTTTGATAGAGAAATTAGTTTTAAAAGAAAAGAAAATACAAATATGAAATATTATCCTTGCATACAGTATTCCAATTAAACGTTTTTAACATTAACAAGAAGAATAGACTAGTCTGTGCATAAATGAATAAACGTAAAGAGAACCTCGCACACAAATTCTAATACATCGTTCACAAGATGTATATATATATGACTTTTTTATTATAAATACTAAAAGTAAGTAGGTAAATGAACCATAGTTTTGTTGTTGTTCCTATTGACACATACATGAATACTTAAAATGCAATTGCCCTATACAAAACTTTATTTGCTTACACTTCCCTTTTCAGTAATTCTACTAGTTTAAATAATTGTAGATGAATAAACATTAATGGTAGTTTACACAGGAACTATTTGTTTACTAATTTTATTGTCTTTTAGAAAATATTGATTATAATTCCATTATATGTTCAGTATTGTTAAGTGGTTAAATGAGAATGAGGATAGTATTTCACACAAAACTTATTGTAAATGAATGTCAGGTAAATTGGATGATAGTTACGTAACTTTTTTTATTGTTTACGTTTTTCATTGAATAAACAAAGCAAGTATATAAATGAATATCATAAAAACATCATGAAATAATATTGTCAGTATATTCAACACATTAAACACGATATAGTATTACATACAAGGGACAGTTTTCCTTTTCACATAGACACAAGTATTCTATTCATTGTAATATATATATATAATATATATATATATATATATATATATATATATATATAATATTTGAGTATCAAAGATAAACTGTTTTCAGTGAAGACTTGACCTACATACCTGTACTAATGATTTGGCCGATAATAATGTGAACATTGTTGATAACAACAAATATATGGATAATAATAGTAATGGTGATGATTTACAAAATGTTTTTTTTTCATTAAAATGTTAATAATGACTATTATGTTAGAGGAAGTAAAACACAAAAAGACGGTAAAAGTATTTGCATATAGAAAAACAACTTTTGTCCCGAAGCTGATAATAATAGTAATGTGAAACGACTATTAAATACTAATGACTACAAAAAAAAAGAAAAAGTAAAACAAAATACCTTTGTTGCATAAATGAAGATGCATGAAAGAACAACGGTATCTCAAGAGTTTCTAGTGTTTTAGCTTATATATCTAATTGTATATAAAAGAAACATCAGCACAAAATGTTTGTTCATACCCATATTATTTATTGCTGATCGTTTAGAACCGTTTAGAAATAATCCACCTTCAGATTAAATGATAAGTGAAATAGACAAGCAGTTTACACGGAATAATTAATAGAAAAAATATAGATAGACGAAAGAAGAGTAAACCATTTACGAAGATAATGGAATATATAACAAAATAAACGTAAAGAATATATATTGCAAAAATATTTGGTATTGGAATTTTTATATTCCATTTAATTCATAACAATACAATTCGTGAACTTCAAGAAATCACTTCAAATAAAAAAACGCATCACTTAGATATTTATCCACTGAAAACTTAGGAAAATTTAAAATCTCATTCAACTAGTTACTAATTTCATATTTATGAATATATTATTACAGATCAACTTGTACCAGAAAGAGTTATTTGTGAATTTTGTTCATTCATCGATTGTGTAACTGATAGAGTACTATTAAGTACAGAAACAGGATTTGTATATGATTGATTCAATAAGTTCATTACTGTTGCCGATTGTGAAGTTGAATTCGTTGTCGGTTGTGATTGTGATAAAGCTGATGTTGAAATTAATGGTATTTGTAAACCAAAATTATATAAACCTGCTAATGGTGACAAAGAGTTTAACGATTGTCCAATAGTAGAAGAAGATGAACAGTTTTGTCCTAACTCATTACTGCAATTAGTTAATGATTGTTGCAATCCAATAATTTGTGGTATAGCATTGTTATTGACGGTACCTAATCCATTTGGTCCAACTAACATAGCTGTTGCAGCAGCGGCTGAAATAGAATTTGGATCAAAATAATAAGTAGGTTGATTATTAAATGTTGCATTAATAAGTCCACCATTTCCTAATGTTCCATTTGAAAATAACTGTGTTGAATAATCAAACGCATTATTGATTATGGTTCCAGCAGTACATTCATTTTGTAGATTAACATTATTATTATTGGTTAAATTACCAGTTACATTTGCTAAACCAGTAGTATTTATAGGAAAATTTGTTGTACCAGATAATTGTAGAACATTTGTTTGAGATTGTAATAAATTCAGTGGAGTTGATGTATTTGGTAAATTATTTGATAATGGTAATGGCATAAATGCTGCATTTGTATGCATTACACTTGGATTAATTGGCAGAGCATAACTAGCTGCAAATGCTAATTATCAAAAAACAAAAAGTAAAAAATAAAGAAAAAACGAAATTTAATTTAATTTTTTTAAAGAAATGGAATGAATTGATGATTTAAGACTTGAGAAACATGAAATGTATTTTTGGAAGATAATTTTGTTCTGAAAATTAACACTTGAAGTTTGATAAGTCGACTGTAATTATGGTGGACTAATGGTCTTTGTTATTAATGCATGTGGTCTATGCATCCACGACCAGGTCTGAAGCCAGCTTGATTCTCTCGTGTTTGCAGTTCACGAGTCTTAGTTAAGCGTCCTATAATTATCGAGGCTAGTATTTTAGATACTATATTAGTTAAACTAATCCCTCTATGGTTGTCACAGGATGATTTTGACCCTTTCTTATATATTGGGATGATATGTGATTGTGACCAGTCAGAGGGGACTATGTCCAACTCCCAGATTTTAACTAAAATATATGTCAACCTAATCGCTTAAATTGGACCACCATCCTTAAAGACCTCTGGAGCCAATCCATCTGAACCAGCTACCCTTCCTCGATTTAGATTAACTATAGCCTTTTGAATTTCAGCTAGAGTTGGAGGACCTACTTCAATGTTCCATTCACAATGTCTGGGAATGGGGGGGGGTAGTTGTAGAATAGCTGAGGACCAGCTGAACTGCTCCTTAAAATGTTTCGCCCATCGTTCTAAACGTCTGGACTGGGAGCAGATGAGAGTGTCGTCTTTTTCCGAAATGATCTGACTTACACTTGATTTATTAATTCCAGTTTCTTTTATTAGTCTGTAGAGTTGTCTTGTGTTCCCTATAGCCGCCGCATTTTCCATCTCTTTTGCTTTCGTTGCCCACCACTGCTCACGATCGTTCCTTAGACTTTTGCTTAACCTAGATCTGATTTGTTTACGCTCTTCATCGTGTTCAGAACCTGATGGGATGAGTTTACGAGAATCTATCAGTGCAATAGACCTTGAAGAAATCCATTGGTTCTTTGTAACCCTGTGGTTTAAATTACTAATTGATGTCACTGCTGTTTCCACAGATGATTGTATATCTTTCCAAGCAACATCGGGGTCAGCCTCGTTTTCAGAACTCCATAAGTGTGACCTCAGTTGTTCTTGGAACCTACTTTTGGTTTTCTCGTCACTCAATTCAATTCTAATGGGTCTTCCTAGTGTGGCTTTTCTGCGTCTGATGAGGCGCAAGCAGATGCGTGCCCGTATTAGAGCGTGGTCGAAGTCCAAACAGGCGTTCCAGCATAGACGACTGTTAACGGGGATCCACTCTAATAGCGCTTGTTCCGCCCTCATGCTTAGTGCTATGACTACCCCTGCCAGTCCACGAGAACTAGCAATCGGGTCGCCAGATACACGGAGGGTGTATCTCGTCGGCTCTCCGTTTTGCCGAGGTGAGGTCAAGTGTATGACCACACTAGGATCCTGTATGCGTGTTTCGGAGACAAAGCATATATCAACTGTACGAGATTCTAAGGTTTTAGCCAAGGAAGCCTGCTGACCGATTTGATATAGTGTGAGTACGTTGAAGGCTCTAATGTGTAGTTTGGGGCAAGGTTTCAGTAGACCTGGGACAGTGTTTTGAGCACTAGAGTCGTTGGCTGTGGTGACACTTGAGGAGGAAACTAAAAGAGGAAGTTTAGTGTATAAAGTCGATGTAGGAGGAATAATAGGAATTGAAGAGGGAGGTTGACTATGAATACAGTGGTCTTGAGTGCTGTTAGAGGTATGAGGGCGGTTATCACTTCCCGGTTGCCCACACCGTGGAAGGGTTCTCCTGGAGGTACCTGAAAAGGAAATTAGGTTAGAGGTGGTCACAGTGACCTGAGAGCGTGACTGCAGTGCCCAAGGGACAGCTGCTTGAGGTCGGTCACACACGACCTTTTTATGAGTAGTTTTTGTGTTAGCTCCGTACTTGTTGAAACCTTACCGCCGGAGACGGATATCCGTGGGATAAGGCGAGGTGTTCATTTTTAGGGTCGACCTTTTCTAACCCCTTCCCTCCTTTTGGGGAGGCAGCATCGCTGTCATGCTGTTTGTCTGAAGGAAACACCTTACTGCTGTCACAACTCTGTACAGTCAGCAGTAAGACTTCGCCTTCGGACCTTGGTTTTGTTGCTTTTAGTCTTACCGCTCTTCAACCGACCTGTCTGGCATGGTAAGACCTTGAGGAACGGTTGTTCCAGCCAGTATAGCTCAGTTGCTTCATCACAATAGGCAAGCGCGACCACCACGTCAAGGTAGCGACAACGGTCGGGGTGTTATTAATGAAGAATAAAACGGATTATAAGCTAGGTTACAAGATTTTAAGTTCATTGCTGTCACGGTAGAGATAGTTGGATCTAACTTGTTTGGATTCGATTTTTTTTAAAAAAACCATGTAAAGTATTTGATTCATTAGTTTCTAATATATTTTGTGACGAAAGTTTTGAAGAAAAACGCTTACTACCATTCATAATAGACAAGTTATGAGCGCAAAATATATCAACTAATTTAGGTGTTCGGTGTTGTTGGGTAGACAACATGTACAGTGGTGAGTCTACCATTCTCGCTACTGTTAATTGTGATTCTACATCTTGAAGACGATCCTGAAATGTAGCAATGCAAGTCTGACAATAAATTAGAACTAGATTCGATAATCAAAAATGAAGATTTCTAGAAGCTTTACATTCTAAAAAGAAAACAGTTTGATGAGAAAGTTTCTAATGCCACCGTTCTGTCATGAAGAACGTGGCTAATATAACATAAAAAGATTGTTGTCATCCAAATCTACACTCTATCTTCGATTTAGTCTAGTAATCGAAATTGTGGATACCGCATAATATTTTTAGATAGTGTATAACTGAAGGATTTTATTATAAATAACATTATGATTAAAAGCCTGGCTTATCCCATCATTGTATGATTGTGACGCCGAATAATTTTATGAATATAAGCACGCTACTCACAAGTAGTCTGGAATTCCATCAGAGTATTCTGCAAGTGATCTAATTTTATGGTCTTTAAAGTATCGAAGTCGAATAAGTGATCATTCTATCAACGGGAACTAGAAGGTGAAATAGAAAGGGGAACTGCGTAGAAATAAATTTAGAGTTTGTCAGAAGGTGGAAACTACTGGAATTAAGTCATTTCATATATTTCGGCTACAATTATTGTTTTTTCCTTTGATGAAATGTGAAATGATTAAGAATCGTATGGTAAAACACTGTTGTGTAAATGCGTTTCATAGTAACGAATAATTTAAACTGAAGCGTAAAAGTGAAATATTTAAAAGAAATTAAAGCGCAAAACCACACCTTAACTGTTTTCAGAAATGTACACGATGACACAACAAATAACCCTGTAGTATGTTGTAACACTGTGTTATAGGTAGATAATACGTTTCTATAATCTGGAGGTAACTGGTACTCTGAGAAATTCAGTTCTGAGTCACTTAGTATCACAATCAGAGATAACAGTATTAAGATTTTCAACCAGTAACTAAGGTCTTGTTGGACTTATATTCATCTATTTAAAGCTAATAGAACTTAATAATCAATTTTCTTAATAACCTATTTCATTTGTAAGTGTTGTAAACATTTAGAATTATTGATTCCATGAGTTTAGAGGTGATCTATAGGAAACCGTAGACCTAGTTTATTTGCTGTTAGAAATTTATGAGCAAGAACCGTTTATAATTTTGATAAAATTAATGTTTACACTAATGAAATATTTCCACTAAATGACTTGTAATTATCACACAACCTACTCGTTATTTTTTGAATGATCAGATTATTTTTTATAATTTATGCGATTCGTAAGCGATCATTGAAGTTAACTGTTATAATGTGAATATGATTTACATTTTATGTGTTATGATTCTTAAGTATAGAATTTCACTTATTATTTAAGTGTCTTGATAGGTTATATCGAATTACCTGAAAATATTAGAATTTAGTTCTGTTTAAAATTATTGAATAAATGCTGTATGTTTGAATAAAAAAGAAAATTTTCATGAAGCAATGTCAATTGGATGAAGTATTGGGAAAAACTTAGTATACTAAGTTGCTATACAGTACTGATGGAACTCAGTATGGTAGATAGTTATGTATATAAGTCTTCGATCATTTTGTTATCGACCACGCTTCGGATAATAAATTTGTATTAAAGGGATAGCTCTCCAAGATGAGTAGTTTACTAAGCATTAACTATTTATGTTAATGAACTTAACTAACTGAAAAAGTCTGATCACTTATTCTTACTGTTTTGCGGTTTCTTCTATTTTCTGCATAATCAGTTGCATGGTTTTTAATTCATCTACCTTTGTCTATTAACACTTTTTTTGTTCCTTCAAGCTTAAATTCATTTTTAAAAAGTTTATATTTTTATGCAATTAATCAAAGTATAAAATAAGGCTGGGTCATACTTGATCAATGTTTAGTGAAACAACATGATTTTTGTTTTAGATTAAAGTCGAAGTTTATTAACGTAAACAAAAATGTATTTTCTTTACAGATCTAATACATATGCTTATAATTTTGTACTACAAACTATTACTGAATAATGGATTCTTATAAATTTGGTAATATTTTTTCATAATGAACTTTACTTATTCACAATTAGTAGTATTCAACTTGAACAGTTATGTTAACTGATGATAACAATGAAACATAAAGTTTAGTTAATATTTATGATGTCTGTTAATACTCCATGAAATTTATTGAATCGATGAAAAAAGTTTGTTCTCTCTCTCTCTCTCTCTCTCTCTATATATATATATATATATATATATATATATATATATATATATATATATATATATATATATATATATATAACTCCGCCTGTAGCTCTCCTAGAGTTACTGCCGGTCCCATGCCCGGGTAAAAGAGGAGGGTTGGGAATGGGGTTAGCGACCCCATCCCGTAGAAAATTTACTCGCTAAAAAAACGCTAACCACAAAAGATAATTCAAACCATTTAAACTCTGCCCTGGCAGTTAGAACGTCTTCATTTAGAAGAAATATGACGCCTCAGGGTAAAAGCCGAGTTCCTTCGGAATCCATGAGGCCGATGCCCCTCCTAACAATCAGAGCAACAATTTTTTTAGGTACATGGAACGTCCGGACAGTGTAGGAGACTGGGAAGACCAGTCAAATAGCAACGGAAATGAGGAGATACAACTTGGCAGTACTGGGAATAAGCGAAACCCATTGGACCCAAGCTGGACAACAAAGGCTAAATACGGGAGAGATGCTGCCATACTCTGGTCACGAAGACGAAAATACTCCATACACTCAGGGAGTAGCTCTAATGCTGTTCAAAGTAGCACGAAATGCACTTGTAGGATGGGAATCTCACGGATCCAGAATCATCAAAGTGTCATTCAAAACAAAGAAGGAGGGGATCACAATGAATATTATCCAATGTTATGCACCCACCAATGATAGCAACGACGACGTTAAAGATCAATTCTATGAGAGGTTGCAATCAATCATAGAGAAGTGCTCAAGAAAGAACCACACCATTCTGATGGGAGATCTAAACGTCAAATTCGGAATAGACAACACCGGATATGAAGATATCAAGGGACTACATGGACTGGGAGAGAGAAACGAAAACGGGGAAAAATTTGTAAATCTGTGTGCATTCAACAAATTGGTCATAGGCGGCACAATATTTCCACACAAACGTATGCACAAAGCTACATGGATCTAACAGTACCATACCACAGAAAACCAGATAGATCATATTTGCATCAATAAAAAGTTCCGAAGGATAATGGAAGATGTGAGAACCAGGAGGGGAGCGGACACAGTTTTAGATCACCATCTGGTTGGGGCCAATGTAAAACTGAAGCTAAAGAAGAACTGGAAAACTGGACAAACATCACTACAAAGGTTCAATACAGCCTTCCTTCGAGATACTGACAAACTCGATGAATTCAAGATAGCTCTCAATCACAGGTTCCAAGCCTTACATAATCTACTGAAGGAAGAAATTACTATGGAGGATATCTGGAAAGGTATGAAAGAAGCAATAATTTCAACGTGTCAGGAGGTTCTTGGCTTCAATAAGCATCATCATAAGGAATGCATCTCTATAGAAACACTGGACAGAATCAAAGAAAGGAAGAACAAGAAGACAGCAATTAACAACAGCCGGACACGAGCAGAGAAAGTTCAAGCACAAGCTGAGTACATAGAAGCAAACAAGCAAGTGAAGAGGAGCATTAGAGCCGACAAGCAGAAATACGTGGAAGAACTAGCAACGACGGCGGAGAAAGCTGCAAGAGAAGGAAATATTAAACAGCTTTACGATACAACGAAGAAACTAGCAGGGAAATATAGTAAACCAGAGAGACCAGTCAAAGACAAAGAAGGAAGACCGATCACTGAGATTCAGCAACAACGGAACAGATGGGCAGAGTACTTCGAGGAACTCCTGAATGGGCCGGCTCCGAAGAATCCACCGGACATCGAAGCAGCACACACAGATTTTCCTATAGATGTCACTCCACCAATGACGGAAGAAATCAGAATGGCCATCGGACAAATCAAGAGCAGGAAAGCAGCAGGACCCGACAATATACCAGCTGAAGCACTGAAGTCAGACATCGAAGTAACTACAAGCATGCTTCATCTTCTATTCAAGAAGATTTGGTAGGATGAACAAGTGCCGATGGACTGGAAAAAAGGACACCTCATCAAGATTCCAAAGAAAGGAGATCTGAGCAAGTGTGAAAATTACAGAGGCATTACACTACTGTCAATACTAGGAAAAGTCCTCAACAGAGTGTTGCTGAACCGGATGAAAGGAGCAGTAGACGCTCAACTTCGAGATCAACAAACTGGATTCCATAAGTATCGGTCGTGCACAGACCAAATTGCGACACTACGGATCATCGTCGAACAATCATTTGAGTGGAACTCGCCACTGTACATCAACTTCATTGATTATGAAAAGGCATTCGACAGTGTAGATAGGAGAAGGTTATGGAAAATTCTTCGACACTATGGAGTTCCTGAGAAGATTGTCAATATTATCCGGAACTCATACGATGGACTACAGTGCAAAGTCGTGCATGGAGGACAGCTGACAGATGCATTCCAAGTAAGGACCGGAGTCAGACAATGCTGTCTACTCTCTCCCTTCCTCTTTCTTCTGGTGGTCGACTGGATTATGAAGACATCTACATCTGAGGGAAAACACGGCATACAATAGACAGCTCAGAACCAATTAGACGGTTTGGACTTCGCAGATGACCTAGCCTTCCTATCGCATACACAAGAACAAATGCAGATAAAGTTAGCCAGCATGGCAGCAGTCTCTGCATCAGTAGGCCTCATTATATACAAGGGGAAAACCAAAGTCCTCAAATACGACACGGAGAACAGCAATCTAATCACTCTTGATGGCGAAACTCGGGAAGATGTAGAATCATTAACACACCTGAGAAGCGTCATTGACGAAGGTAGATCAGATGCAGACGTAAGGGCGAGGATTGGCAAAGCAAGGGCCGCATTCCTTCAATTGAAGAACATATGGAACTCAAAACAACTCTCAACCAATATCAAAGTCAAAATCTTCAATATCAACGTCAAGGCAGTTCTACTGTACGGAGCCGAAACTTAGAGAACTACAACAACCACCATCAAGAAGGTACAAGTATTTATAAATAGTTGTCTACACAAGATACTCAAAATCCATTGGCCGGATACCATCAGAAACAGCCTTCTGTGGGAGAGAACAAACCAGCTTCCAGTTGAAGAGGAAATTAGAAGAAGACAATGGAAATGGATATGACATACATTACGCAAATCATCAAACTGCACCACAAGACAAGCGCTAACTTGGAATCCTGAAGGAAAGCGGAAAAGAGGAATACCAAAGAACACATTACGTCGGGAAATAGAAGCGGATATGAAAGGGATGAATAACAACTGGTAAGAGCTGAAAAGGACTGGCCAGGACAGGGTTGGATGGAGAATGCTGGTGAGCGGCCTATGCTCCTTTGTGAGGAGTAATAGGCGTAAGTAAGTAATATATATATCATTATCATCATTAATCTAGAATTAATTATTGAATAATTAATCCAAACAAATATGATGTTGTATGCTAAAATGTCATACCTTTTAACACTAATTAAACTAGAATTGCTTCTACATTAGGAAAAATTCATATAAAGTTTATTGACTAAAATGATATATATATATATATATATATATACCATTAAATGGTTGATTTATTAGTGTGTAAGATAAGTTGATAATCATATTGTAGTGTACGCTACGTATGTTGACAGATATAAGTTGTATGAAGCACTGATCGGAAGTGGAATGCTTGGTAGAAGAAGGTTGAGAATATCAACTGGAATATAAACAGAAAGTAAGTTTAGTAATGACTATAATGAAGCAATAATGAAGTTTGTATGAAACATTTGATGGGAGATGTGTAAATGAAATTTTGGATGTATGTTTTTTTATATTTTGTGATAACACTTTGTAATTTGGCATTAAAAATAAATTGGTTCACCCCACCAAGTCTTCGTTCACTGCAATGCTGTTTAAACGAATATTTTCTATATTACTAGATATTTGATAGTTTGAATGAAGAGACTTCGATTAAACAATTCGATGAAGTAGACTATTCTTTATAGAAAAGTATTGCTTAGAAATAAAACCACCATTCATTTCCTTTTAATTGACTTCGATCATGTGACGTAAGAACAGTGTTTATTATACATTTTAAATAATTTGGGAATCATCTTTCTCTTCGAATTGAAAGAAACTAGGTTCAAATTCAGATACCAATGTATGATAATACATTTATGGAAACTATTTTAAAATGGTTTAACAATCTACACATAATATAGATTTTACAGAGAGCTTAACATGACTCCACTAGAAGATATTGTCATAACAAGTTATGTGTAGATTGCTTGACTATTTTAGCGATTAATTTCAATTAAAAAAAATGATAAAGATTTACTTGAAAAAGAAATATAAAATCAAGTATTCTGTTATTAATACTGTTTACCTTCATTCAAGCTAAAAGGATGAAATGGAAGACTTTGAATAGCTATTTCAGAAGCACCCAGTTTAGCTTCAGTAGATGTTAAATAATACCGACTTGTGTTGCATCGAAATTGCAATTTTGGGATATAAACCTAATATAATGAAAAGATACCAAATATATATTAAAGTTTAGTTGATTATCAAGCAAACACATACACATACACTAATCAAAATAATGTTATTCAAGTATTCTTCGTTTGTTTAAATTTCTCATCCGCTTAAACAAATTAATTTCAAAAAATCTACTGACGATATTGTAAGATCGTAGTATAATTGTAGAAGAGTTAATAAGGGACTACCAATATTCTCTCTCTATAGAAAAGATAGATTTATGAATAGTAGTAGAATCCAGGATGCACGTTTCATCTTATTTGATTCTCATCATCTGGATGTCCCTGCATTTCAACGTTGATATCCACACAGAAACTCGAACACAGAACATTTCACTTCAAATGCATAACAATTTATCCACTTCAGATAGCAACTAACTTGTGAAACAAAACTAATAATAATTGAGTTAAGCATATCAAGAACGAGATAATTGAAGCCTTACTAACAATGATATAAATAATGCCTTTATTTTAGTGAAGTTAATCTTTTCCACGTTAGAAAGTTTAATTATGAAGTATTCTGTTGACAAAGGTCATAAAACACAATCTTAACTCTTATCAGTATAATGCATCACGACTAAAGTACAAACATCTCTGGATCAATATTCTAGCCTAATTTTAATTTTCAACAACTGAAATTTTTGCGGAAAAATTTTTATACAGTGTAAGCTATTAAATATTTGAAGGTTCTGTGATTAAGAAAAATATATATATTGAAGTGGGTTTCTCTGAATAATTAAAGTCTGAAGTTGATTGATCAAAATGATAATCATTGTTAAAATACAACAACAGTTATACTATTTCTCGAATTCTACATGTACTGAGGAGGGTGCTACAGATATTGACATATATAAGTAGTACGTATCACCAATCGAAAGTGGAATGTCTGTCAGCGGAAAGTTATGAAAATCGAACAGAAGAGAAGAGAAGGAGAACAAAAAGTGAATAATGTGGAAACGAAGGAACATCAAAGTATGAGACAATTGATTGACATTTTGCAAATGAAGTATTGACTGTATGGTTTTCAGATTTTATTATGAGATTCTCTTATTTTGTATTCAAACACATTTAGCTGTCCCCACTTCTGTTCCCGTTGATTACAGTATAACTATTTCGAACATTTTAAATTTAAATTTAATTTTAATTTTATTGCTGTAACTCATTCAAACGAAATAATTCGGTAAATAGAGCATGTTGAAAATTTTTTGTCCAGAAAATGTCTGGATATAATGACACTAGTAGTTTTAAAGTAATCAGCTATGATATAAAAGTATATAGAATTAATTGTGGTAACGTCATGATAAAACCACTCAACTTATAATGTCTTTTGCCTTTGCTCGCGAAGCAAACCACTTCGGCATATATCTAAGTATGCATGCGTATATTTATTCGAATAAATCATTCTGTTTCTAAGCGCTAAATTCAGTTTATAAAAAATTCTATAAATGAGTAATAAAAGATATTTCTATAGCTTGTTTCTTATGGTAATACTACATATTAGTAAACATTTGCATTCAAAATTCATAAAAGCTTCATTAGATATTTTCACGTATTAGTTGGCATGCAATAATATCAGTTAAATGGTGTTGAGGATTTGAGTTATCCCTCAAATTCAACTGTCTTCCTGTACATTAACAACAGTGAATATTGCTAGTTAAGTTAAACAAATAAATAGCCTAGTGGATCGCTATATCAATCCTGTGATCTGTTTACTTTTTCACCATACTAATTATTCAGCTTTTCTAATTGATATTGATAAAAAGTGTATCGCATTTAGTGAACAAACTCTTTATCCCTTCCTGGTACAGTCTTTGATAACACATCCAGTTGTATAAAACTGATTGATCATTCATTGGTTTATAACTCATCATTTAAAGTTGATTAATTTACATTAAATTAGATGAAATATATAATCCTGGAAAATACTCTAGTAAACTAATTATGTTTCTACATTCACACATTTTTTTATCTTATAATCCAGTTGGTGTTATTCCTTCATCTTAATGATTTTAATAATAATTACTAAACAAAAATGAACTTGTCAGCTGAAGAGTCCCAAATAGGACGAAACCCACATCCTGGATTCCACTGCTAGCCATTATCCATTTTTGTTTAGAATGTTTGTGACTTAAAGCAATATCAAGGCAACACGCACAGTATGCACATATGTATCAATAAGAGACTGATGGAGGAAGATACAAATAAACAATACTAAGTGAATAATTATTACCATTCGAATAACATTCACTTAATCCTTTTAAAACATGATAATCTAAATCACTTGGTATTGTTCGGCTTGTATCTTCCCATCATTACTTACAAAAAGCTTGTGAATTAAGGTAATATCGAGGAATACGCACAGTATGCACATATTCCAATAACAGACTGATCAATTGCAGTCCTAAACATCAATGGGAAGATACAAGCCAAACAATACCAAGTGAATTTAAATTCATCCCATTGCACAAGCAAGTGGCTATCAGGACTCAGTAGCTGAGTGGATAACGCGATGACTTTTGAAGCGAATTGTAGTGGGTTCGAGTCCCAGAGTGAACATCAACTCTGAGATGCAAGTACATACAGTTGACGAGTCCCAAAAAGGACGAAATGGAAATCGTTACTATTCTAAGATCATGTTTTAGTTAGTTTATATTCAATTATGTATGTATACTTGAAAAGGATATTGATGAACAGTTCGATCCGAAAATACAAAACAAAACAAAACAAAACAATCATCCATCCTGTTGATCTCATTTTGTTTTGATTTGAACTGAAAATATTTGATTTGGTTTCGATTTTAATATACTGTATAAGTTTATTTATGAATGAAGCAATAAATCAATGATATTTTTCATTTTATAATAATAATACATTTATATAAATCATATTGTACAATATACAATAATGTATGATTGACCCTTGATCATAGTGACATAATTATAATAATCGTTGTGAGAATATTTCAACCCAGTTATATATGGAGTAATAATAAAAAAATAATAATTTTAATTTCAATAGATTGTAATATTAATTAATTTGTGGGGCATCATAATGAATAGCATGATCAATATGTTTATCATAACAATTAATTAACTCAATCAATATACTGTAAGTTTGTCTATAAGTTTTTGCATTATTATTGTGTATTATTATTATTATTTAAACATGTAAACATTGATACAAGGAGGTACCAAATAGACATACGTAACATAAATCGATTGATTTATGTGAGGGCTGAAATACAGCCTGGGTGCCCAAGCCGAGACAGATGGCTCTCTTAGGGGGCCACATTTGGAGCCTTTGAATTAAAGGTCTAATTTACAAGGTAATGGAGGTAAGTCAGGAGATGTAGTTTCATGGTAGCAGGTGACCAACGATTGGTTCATATACCATTAGGATCTTAGAGCTCATGTGAACCATTGGCTTTCCATCCCTTTGATTTCAAAAACAACACCCCCCGCTGCGAGAAGGCGGTGAGTGGGCCCTCTCTGGCAGTGACCATATGAGCGTGACTATGTGAGAGCATTTTGAGAGGGATAGATAACTATCTCCACTCTCAGCCGTACCAGGACATTTTGGGGTAAGTTTTGACAACCATTTTGGAAAAATTACTTTAATTATTTATTTCATAGATCATGCAAAGCAAATGGACATGATTTCATATTGTCCATTTTTATTTCAATGTAATAAGAGTGAAAATTGAAAAAAGAAAAAGCAGCTAAAGAGAGCATAATAATGAATATCAAATAAATTAAGTCTGGTTAAATGGTAAATTTCTACCAAAAAAGAGAAAAGTATGTATCCTTACTAAACTTCAGATCATGTGAGAGGTAAAGAGTGAATAAATCTTAAAAACTAATATCTATTTTAGGTAGTGACTGAAGTCCCTATTTATTAAATAATAATACAAGTGTACTAATATAAACATAAAAATCCATATATCAATGCTAGGCTGAGATAAATTGATCACATTATAAGGTAATGACATGTATTTACTGCTCGTCACACGTGTTCTTCAAGATTAAATGGCTACTAGCCAACTAGGGATGCGTAATAAATAGATCAGCCATCTAAGCTTATGATAACTGATTGTTTCAGATCCAATTAAAATTGTACTCTTAACCATATGGGGTCAATACTCTAAAGATGCGTAATATGAAATAATTTCCATTTACGCATGTCTTTAACTTTTGGAGTTTACTTTTTCAAAATGTAGATCATTACATAATGAACTGTTGTTCAGAATACTAATCTTTTGGTAGGTAAATGAGAGTCTCGTTAGACTCTTAGGTATTGAGTAAAATCAAGTGAAAATTTTGCTACGATGACAGAATTTACTCGGACGTCAACCCAACATAGATGATGAAATGGCAAATCCGCCTGGCTACTTTATTATCCGTAGTTAAGAATTATCATATACCACTCCTAAAAAACAATTTACATTAAAACGGATAGAAATGCGCCTAAATCATACTTGGCTTACTGCATAAAATGTTACCTAATCGCCCACAAAAATCTTCAGGCTGAACACGAATTAATTGATTATCGTAATGAAAAAAGTACAAAAAAGTAAATCTAACAACTTGAATTAATGCTCACCTGTCCAACATACAATTGAACCTTATTTCCTGTAGTTGAATCAATAAAATCAACTGGTATTGCACTACATATAGGAGAACCAAGACCATCACGTAAACATAGATCATTTAAATTCTAAAATTAAAAAAGAGGTATCTATAGAATGTTGACTTGACTGGTAATTCTAAAAAAATGTTCAGTACATACATATAAGAAGACTAGCGATTACTAATGAGATGAAGTAATAATAAGGAATAGTTACATTTAACACTAATTGAAAATACATTTGTTGAAATAATTAGATTATGATAAGAATGAAACAGAAATAAGCATAGTGGCATAAAAAATTAAGAGAATCAGTGAAACTTTCATATACAAACAATTACGCTCTTAAGGATAAGCATACCTAAATCCATACAATTAGATATGAGAAGTTTAAAAATCCTCATAGAATATTCAAAAGACGAAGAATATTTGAGCGAATAATTATTTTTAATAACTTCATCATCCGACTCTACTGTTATAAGTCCATAATTATTGTGATATATTACATAGGCCAAATTAAGGCAATGTATTAATGAATTTGACAATGTTATGTGTTAAAAATGGTAAACGTTTGCATCTGTTACGATATATATATATATATATATATATATATATATATATATATATATATATATATATATATACTTCAAAATTGTAGTGTTTGCAAATTAGGAAGGTCATTCAATAAAAGTCAGAATGATTTGGAGTAAACTGTCCAGTCACAATAAGTAGAATAGTATTATAGCAAAATTGAAAATGCAAAAACTAAATTGTGTGAATAAAATGCATAGTAGGGGAATTTTATCTTGTCAGTTGAGATGAAGATGAAGATAAAGGCAATAGAAAAAAGAGGGGGTAAGATGCTTATAATATTCAGTTTAGGTATCCGGTGATCCAGTCGTAGGCCAAGGTAAACATAGAGGCTGGATATACTTTTTCTGGATACATAAGTTTGGTTTTCTGGAGTTGATCCAGATGGCTTCAGCTATGTAGAGCAATTGTAATCTAGCTACTTGAGGTAGGTATTTTGGAACTTGATATAAAACAGAGAAAGCTTCCTCTATTTTGATATGATGTTCACTATCTACCAAGTGAGAAAGAGTAGTGCTGTTAATCGATTTAGTAACTCCTTTTCCCAACCATGCCGGTACATGTTCACGAACACGCAAGGATAAAGTTCTCTGAGTACGGCCTATGTAACTAGCTCCACAGGAGCAGTTGAATTGGTATACACACATGGAGGAGCCCATTTTCGGTAACCTATCCTTGATTTGTTGTGTGAGAACTGGTTTAGTCGAGAAGATTATGTGTAACTTGGCGGCATGAAACGTCCTTTCAACAGATCTTTTGAGTCGACGTGTTAGAATATCATCCGCTATGTCCCCTTTGAAGTCTAGTCTCAGATATAAGATCTTTTTACTGACTGTGTCACAATTTCTTCTTTTTTTCAGTACTTTCTACGAGGTATTTCTTAACGAAATTATCTGGATAGCCATTATTTCGTAATGTATTCTTTAGTATATCTATTTCGTCATCCACACAGTTTTCAGAACATAATAACTTGATTCTGTGTTTGAGAAATTTAACCAAATTTATTTTAGATTGAAGTAGTGTGAGGCTTTGAAAATGGACATACTGACCCATCCATGTACTCTTTCTAAATATATTTCGCTTTATGGAACCGTCTATCCTTCTATAAAGTAGGACATCCAGAAAAGCTATACTATTGTCTTTCTCCTCTTCGCTGGTGAATTTAATGACTGGGCGGACGTTATTGAAAGAGTCCAACATCTCCTGTTTATCGATATTTTCGTTACATACGATTAGTGTGTCATCTATGTATCGACAGTAATAATCAAGCCTTCTAGTTTGGCCAGAAAAATATTAGCAAAGATCATATATCATAATTATGGACTTATAACTGTAAAGCCTGATATCGAAATTAGATATGAATTAATCGAATTGTACATATATATATATATATATATATATATATATCTTCAATGAAGTACACATTGTATGAATTGAAACTAACCTCTAAAAGAGCCAATGGATTCAACTGACGTTGTTGTAATTTCTAAAATAAGAAGTAAAAAAAATAATGATAATTATGAAACTAATGAATTAAGGCATAATGGATCATTTCCAAAATAAAATTGATTAGTGATTAGTTCTTTTTTAAATAGGCAAAAAGAAAAGAAATAATTAAAATTAAGCAGAAATTGTATTCTAGCTAATTTTATTTTAATTTTAATTTCTATGCATGTTATTAGTAAACAAGTATGATCAATAAAATAACCTTAAACACATGGCTAACTGTTATGTTTCTTTGTTACAAAAAAAAGAAGAAAATGAGAAGAAATATAACAGTGCATTAGTAATCAAAGGGAAAAAAGAATTCGGTATATTATCACAATAATAAGCTGGTGAATTAGATAGTTTACTAACTGACTAACTAGAAATTTGTAATTATTAGTTGATTATCTTTTTTCTGTTCATAGAGAAATCATACACACACACACACGAGATTTACGGTAATCAAACCATATTTTCAAAAAAAAATCAAACTATCTCATTAGATTCAGTCATGATAATTTTTCAAAGATTTTATATTAAAAACAAATAAACAAACAAACAAACGAATCATCAGTTAATGAAATAAATTGAATTTTTGATGCATTTTGTAAATAAATGTAGTATTGTTGATAATCAAGTTTCTTGACTTATTAATCATAATATATAGTAATTTGTAGGTCTATACAATGACTATATAATGATTACGTTGAAGAAATAATTTAATGAAATGTCAGTATATAGAATTTGATAGCTTGATAGCTCTCTTTTCAGTTACACTTAATTATGTAAAAGTTGCACATTAGTTTAAACACGAGTAAATGAATGAATGAATCATGGTTCGAACCTGAGACACAATCATTACATCATAAGTATACATATACAGATACTTAATGTAATATAGATCATTGTTATTGCGAATGTTAGTCTAACTTTAGAGAATAAAAATCAATAGATGACAATGAATATATATTTGAATTACAAATTGATTTACCGCTATTACACCAAACACGGTATGAGAGATATGTTGTTAGTGCGAATTTTAAACAGTGTAAGCAAGAGACATGTAAAGTTCTCCAAGGAACATGTGTACAACGTACTGTTTTTGGAAATGAGTATAAATTTCAATGGTGGAATTTTTTGACATATGTTAATTTATCATAAAATATTAATTGGAATTTAACTATCTACTTAACCAACACTTGGAAAAGATACATTTTGTGTAATATTTTATGAACATTGATTGATTACTTCTATGAATATGGTGTTCATCTTGTTTTGCTAATGAGGTGTGGCAACTTGAACCGATGAATATATATATATATATATATATATATATATATATATATATATGCCTGGTACTACGTTGTCTCTGACTAACAGACTGACTGAATAATTTATAAAATCAATACAAACGATACAGAAAACGATCATTTCTATGGATAATTATAATCTTTTTTTATTTTTTGAGCTTTTTTCTACCTTATACATAGTCAAACTGTGTTTCTTATTTAAGATTTTCAATAAGTATTTCATGTATAGTTCAATGTAATTTAGTTATCTAGTATAAGTTTGATGAACTCATCTCATAGCTGAACTGTGTTTATAGAAAAATGTATTAACACTGATCGGTTTGTTAAATTCAAAACAGATTGTCAATTTCAATGATCGCATATCAAATTATTATTAAACACAGTACTTCATTAAACAGTTAACTACTATTACTAAAAAGTGGCTATCAGGACTCAGTAGCTAAGTGGATAACGCAATGTCGTTTGAAGCGAACGGTACTGGGTTCGAGTCCCAGAGTGAACATCAACTCTGAGATGCAAGTACATCCAGTTGACGCGTCCCAAATAGGATGAAACGCGCGTCAAACATCAATTGGAAGATACAAGTCAAACAATACCAAGTGAATCTCTATTTACATTAGATTCAAGAAAGTAAATTGTCAAAATCTTCTTTCATTTTTTTATTTGTAATTTCTTTTTTTCTCATAATCAAATCACTAATATACAAAATAAAATTAATTAGTTGTGATTACACCATGAAAAAAATATGATAAATTTTACGATGTATATATATATATATATATATATATATATATATATATATATATAAGTTCATATAAATAGGCAGATAGCATAAATCTTATCAATATTATAAGTAGAGCATTCATAACAGCAAAATAATAATCATTACTAAATGGGGTTAATTAAAACAAAAGTGATAAGAATTGGAAATTATAGGTGTAGCAGGAATTTATTTGTAAAAAATATTGATTAGGATATGATTATTTTATTGTAAGCAATTTTGTTAATATATTTGCCTTAGTAGTCTCAAACTGATAATTGTTGATTTATCATTATGATATATATGACTACTTGTTCTTGTTATCATGATTTACTTTAACTGCATACACTTTTTAATTGTTGATTCATGATAAACTTACTAACTGATCGTATAAACGCCATTGATGTTTAGCCTTGCCTCAAATTATTCACAAAATAGAAAAGGGAATTAGATATAGAAAAATATACAAAAAATGGTGAGTTAAACATGTTAAACGTGATGATTTAATGTTTTATAAAATACTATTTAACTATATATGTATATTAATAAATGAGATCATTAGTCAAGTCAAGTTAAACCATTGTTGAAAATGTGGATGCTTTTAACAGTTGTTGGGTTCTAGTATGAGACTCCTTAGCAAAGCTCATCCATGAGTCTAATAACAAAGATCAAATTTGAGACCATTGATTTTACTCGCAAACACTTAACATTTAGACCACTGAACTGGGATCTAATGGTGTACAAGTGTGTTTTCAGTCAATACGTTATAGTGCTAAATTATCTTCTATTGTCTTTGGTGGGTACTTTTTTCGAATTCTATAATGTTAACTTACTGTGATTAGGTTTTCCACTTTTGTAAAGTCCCAAACTAATATAAAGTAGATGTAGAACGCTTGCAGGTTTTTTAATGATTGTTCAACAGAGATCGGTTCGTGATCTCAATAAAATTCAATGATCTTCACAACCTATACATTAATATGTTAATTAAAGTTATCGACTCATTTATAAAATAATGATAACAATAATATTATTCGTGGGAAAGTGCTTTCAATAACAAACCAACTTTAATCCGACGTAAATCCTGCTGAAACTGAACTTTCTTGAATGTTGTAACTTCTTATTTCTTATATGAATAATTAATAAATAATAATTGTGTAAACCTAATCATTTTTAGAGTATTAAGAATAAGACGAAAATAAACTATATAAAGAGTCACAATGTCTTTTTGTGTAAATGATCTGTATTAGACAATTTGAAATGTTTGATTTTTGTTAATGTTATTAGACAATGATGTACTTTTTAGTAATAGTAATTACATAATTTGTGGTTTTTTATGATAACAAATGTGAAGATCAGAATTAAGCAAAATTTTAGGTTTCATGTACTTGAATATATTTGTTGTAACCATGACAGGCAGTTATAAGCATACATAATTAGTATATAGTGTTTGGTTGTTTGAATTTAGGCAAATGAACCATACTACCGGACTTGATATCGAGTAGATCAAACTTTATTTCATATTATTTAAGATTCAGAATTATAAACTTGACCATCTACTACAATGAAGTATCATGAAAGTAAATGACATCGTGTCATCTTATATTTTGTTTCGTTGTTTATAAGTTTACGTAGAAATTACTATAAATTTTTAGTTTTCACAGGTATTTATGCAGCTAGTTTGTTTAAAAAGATAATTAATAAAGTACCTCATAATAATACAAGATTAGGCACTCATCTGAAATACTTAGAACGCTAAAAGATATAACGAGTTTCTTTTCTTACAAGTAATTGTTCGTTGAATATCGATTTAGTCGACTTTCAAGCACATCCGAATGTGATTAGATGGTGGTTGGAAGTAGTCTACAGAAAACCATTGACCCGGGTTTCGTGCTACTTGGCACTCGTCAGAAAGTTGCACCTGTAATCTTTGAGGGAACTAATGCTCCCTGGCTGAATCGATCCCGTGTCACCCAGCTTTACAGTCAGAGAAGTTACCACTGAGCTAACCTCCTGTAGGACTGAGATGTAATCACAATTGATTGATCACTGGGTGGTAATCAATGTCATGTGTGTCAAATGCTTATTAGTGCAGATCGAATGCTATCGACCAAGTTGCAATGTGGCCACCAGTCTAAGTGACTCGACACACCCGGGTCCAGGGTTTCCTGTCGACTACCTCTAACCACCACCTAATCTCAACATAGTGCACGCAGTGTCGAGTCACCTAGACTGGTGGCTATATTGCAACTTGGTCGATAGCATTCGATCTGCACTAATAAGCATTTGACACACATGATATTGATAACCACCCAGTGATCAATCAATTGTAATTACATCCAAATGTATAATGATAAGTGCAATCACTGTGAAAAGTAAAAACATTCGTACTTTTTATGAGTTATTTGACTTAGTAAAGTATTATTACATTATGTATCTACTTATTTGATACCCATATGTATACATAGTCTTTCAGGTAATCAAGTGTTTAGATTAATGATTTGTGAAGAACTGTTTAATTTAAAAATATTTTTGTCACTGCGATTTAAGTACATCTAGCTAATAAATCGTAAATAAGACAGATAGCCTCTTGGAGATCTATTATATTCCATCTATTTTCTGAAACCCGACGATATGGGCAATCCGCTCAGAGTAAACATATGCATACAAGATTTATTAAATTCAGTCCTCAATATCAGAAGCGGGGTAAATTAAACTTTATTAACAATAATATATTTATTAAAGCTTTTGATATCTGTTGAAGAACGAATAAGTATTTCGTTCCTGTGTGACATTTTCTGTAGAGACCTGGAAATCTAGAAGTCGTATGTTCAGTCCTGGTCATAAATAGCTAATATGTTCAAACGTAGAAATAAAAATTCTATTCAATTCTCACTAGTTCCCTAATAGTTCTCTAGCATATGTCAATAAAGTTGAAAATACAATCGAAAATGTGTTTTGTCTAGAAAGTTAGACAACTTGTTTGAAGGTTAAAAACTTCTCTTTACATCTGAAAGTACTGGTTTTGATGTGATGTTTTATTTTTTGAATACCCTTCTGTATTCGATGTTTATTACCTTAATCAAATTGGTGTAATGAGAGAAGCATTTACTCTGAGTATTCGGCGTTTTAAGGGTTTTGAAACATGGTTTGTACTATAGTAATCGTATATTTATTTATAAAACAGTCAACCAATTTGCCTGTTTCACAGAGTCAAAGGAATATGACAAGTGTCTGACAGTTCTTATAAGTGTGAAATGTTTATCAGTTTCAGAATAAAACGAAGATTAATCTATCATTTTAATATTTCTGTTAGTGCATAGTTTACTGTTATTTTGTTGATTACTCACAGTATTGGTAATCAAATAAAAACCTTTTAAACTTAAGGCATTACTAGTTCAACTGTTTAATATGATGTAACTCTTTGAGGTTTCGGTCAGCTAATTTGAAGTAACCATTATGCTATTTTCGGTGTCCCTCAATTGTAGTCAATGCTTAGAAATTCAATGTAGAGCATAAAACAACTGGTTTATATACTCTTGAATACTCTAACTAGAAAAGTTATACTTCAGTACCTAGCTGGAGTTCATAATTCATTAACATAAGCTAAGGAGTTTCACTTCGAGCAAATTTTCCATAGCTAAGAAGTTTTGTTATAGGTAAGCAAAACATAATACTTAGAATTGACTGATCCCTGAATGTTTTTATCAGTGCTTTATTATGAATATTCCATAAGGAAATAAATATAACTGTAGTGAACAGAATACCAGTGGGGAACAATCGAATGTATTATGACAAACAATTACAGAACTTGCCAATAAAATCTAACAACCATATAGTCAATGCTCAATTCGCACAATGATCATCAATTGTCTCAAAATGATACAAACTTCATTGTTCTTGCATTTTCATAAAAATCGCATTCTGTTTCCATTCTTTACTGTCTGAACCTCTTGTCTTTTTGCTGCCAGACATTCTGTTCTTGACTAACGTCATATACTACTTATGTCAATATAAGTAACACACACCACATAACTAAGTAAACTCAACTGAAGTTTTATCTCTTATCAGATGAGATGTGAAATATTCAAGTGATACTAAAGTTTGGTTTGTGTTAAATAACATGCTTAGATAAAAATAAAGTGTCAAATATATTAAGGAAACAATAGTTACTTTTAAACTTTACATAACAGTTCTCATCTGATTGAATAAAATTGATTATAAATATTATAAGCAAAGATGGATAGTTGCTAGCAGTGAAATCCAGGACGCGCTTTTCGTCCTAATTGGGACTCGTCAGCTAGATGTACTTGCATCTCAGAGTTGGTGTTCACTCTGGGACTCGAACCAAGTACCATTCGCTTCAAACTACATTGCGTTATCCACATAGCTACTGAGTCCTGATAGTCCACTTGCTCGTGCGATGGGGTGAAGTTTAATTCACTTGATATTGTTTTACTTGAATCTTCACATTGATGTTTAGGAATGAAATTGATCAGTCTCTTATTGGCATCAATGGGAAGATTCGAGTAAAACAATATCAAGTGATTGATCTTAAATATTGTTTATAATTCAGATCGTATTATCAAATAATTAGATACTTCACCAGATTTTAAAGTATAATTAATATTTTGTTGTTATTCTTGTAATAGACAAATGTCTAACAATTTGGAAAATATGTAAAAGCTTGAAGTGATAAGATATATGATTGACATAGTTCTTAATAATTTGTTTGATTTCATATTATTTATTTATTTATTTATCTGTGCAAGATATCTACGTAATATTGTTATGTATGCTACTGATATCGACAGATATAAATGGCATATATCATCAATGGAAAGTGAAATGTCTGGCAGCAGAAGGTTGAGAATATCAAAGGATAGAGAAAGAGCACAGAGAATGAATGGTGTGGACACGAAGGAAAAATGAAATCTGAGGCGATTTATTGAAATTTTGGCAAATGAAGTATTTACCATATAGTTCTCAGATGTTACTTTTAGTTGTACCCACCGGTGTTCTCATTCACTATAATATAACATTGTGATCATCTAATAATCTTTGTTATCAATAGGCTTTGATAATTTAGTATCAGATAAAGTATAATTTACTTCAATATTGATAAACATTAAGTGAATCTTTTAAACCTACCATCAGTTGATTATTTCGAAACATAATTCTACTGGGAAAAGCTATACAATTATGGGTGAAATATATCACAAAACTGAAAAAAAATTATTGAAATGACAAGTGATTCGATCGGTGTTTAACTTGTTTACCACAGATGTATACGGAGAATGAAGTAATATATATCATTCTTGAGTTAATAATTTAATATTTTTTGACATGCCATGATTATGAAGGTAGAATTTTAATATAAACAGGTAAAAATGTCCATAAATTAAGTTCTCAATTTTAAAATATATACGTATATTAGACAGTTCGTTCTGTTTTACTTTAAAAAGTAACAATCAATCATGATCTTAATCTACCTATTTATACATATTAATTGATTGGCTGATGTAAGGTGAAAAACGCTAGTAATGCAGTTATCTTACTTTTCCACTACCTATCAGCCTTTTGGAAACCGAAACATAACTAATCCATGACCTTTGAACATACTTAGAGTGAAGTGGTTGCTCAGTAATGAAACTGGATAACATTTGAGCTCTATTGTGAGGTGATTACACTTAAAAAATATGAACAACTAAATTCCAACTATGTAGCTGAATATGACGGTAGTTTATCATTAGATTCATGGCCTATATAGTTAGGTCTGAATATAGTGATAGACGGCCAACCACAATAAAACAGTTGTCAAACGATTTATAGATTTCAGTGATCCTCTGATAAGTGATGTCTCATGAAGACTTATTTATTAAAATAGAATTTTCATCTGTAAATCTGTCAGCCATGTTGAAAATGATATAAACAGGACTTATATGATTTACATTTGGTTGTTTATTGAATTATTAAATAAACAAATATACTATTTGTAAATTATTAACCTTTTGTCAAAGTGTAATCATTATTTTTGTTATTATTATATATACGTAAATTGTTACAGGTGAAGTTAAAATTTGTACACCGGAATTGAAAATATAGCCAAAAAATATGTCTTCTTACTGATTCAAATGTAAACAAACCAACTCGTCGGTTTATTATCGATTTTCACGGCACTAATATATATATATATATATATATATATATATATATATATATATATCTGTCACCTGCTAACCTGAGAAACTGCACGTTGTTACATTCTAAGACAATGCTAGTTAACTAAGGTTTGAAATTAAAGTCTGTCGTTCTGTAACTTAAACAGAAGTGAGTATATTTAGAGTCTGTTAGTACCATCATTTGTCTCGCAGAGTTAAGGGTAAGAAGGTAGACTATAGGGTTCACCTTTAAGATTTAATAGATTTATAAATATACAAATAATTTAATGAGGTGGTTTACATTTACATGAAGTCAAATAATCAGTGATCGAGATAACTATTTCTTTTAAAAAAACCATCAATATTTTGCAACCACTTTGGAAAATCATGTACATATTTGTCAACTAATAGTTTTACTGATATTATCATTTGACTTAAGAAATAAGAAAATTGTAATGAATAAAATAAACGATCTATAAATAAATGATTCTATTTACTCACTTCTACAGGATGTTTACGATCCTTTTGGGCTCCAGCACTTCGACTACCAGCCGCGTTCCTTCGGCCCGTTCTTGAGGAGTTCAGCTTCATACCACTAATAAAACAATTGTTAGTAGTGTATAAAATTTAACCGATACCATATTATTATAATTGTTGTTCGGAAAAATGTTTAATTGACTTACTATTCCAAAAACTACATATATTACTAGGTATGAACATAATTTGTGTCATTTCTTTGCGTCTAATGCCAAATCATGATGAAAAATTTCTCAAGTTGAAATTAAATTACTCTATCACAACTGTTGTTTAGAATCATTGCTGTTTAAAGAAAACTGTGAAAAGATAGTTGTTTCCAACGATACTATTTACTCGTGTTTTATCATCGTATATACATTAAATTATCAAGTATAATAGCCTGTAGTTGAAAACGAAGGATGAATATATGTTATAATATTTGGGACTTTCAAGTGTTGAAAGAGATCTGCCTAATAATGGAAAAGTTAGAGCAAAATCATATGATGAAAACAAATCTATGAAAGACAGTCGTCCATTTAACAAGTATGAAAAAGTTGAAGAAGAATTCGAAAACGTGGAGGTATGCATGTGTTACCTTTCTCTTGTGGAGCTAGCTACATTGGCTACACAAAACAAGTAGTTACTAAAAGCGTCTCCAGGCAATACTATTCATTACTTTCAAAGGAGGAATTTAAAACGATTGGTAGCTTAATATTCGGACTTACCTTCGGTTCTGATTACGATGTCACACAATAAATATCTTTGAAAATAATTTATTTACATGGTCAAGTAACTAAATTCAAAGGCTGTAAGCCTCAATAGCTTATGAAATTCTGAGGTGTTAGTAACTCAATATTTGAAGCCTCAACTCTGTGTAAAATAAACAACATTTGTATACTACCATATCATCGTAGCTTTAAAGCCTAATATTTTTATTTGGTGAATTAGGTCTTGATACCTTTTAGCAATATTTTAATCCTTAATTGCTTTTTGTCATGCAATTATGACAAAATCATAAGTATGCCCTGTATGAGGGCGATCTGATACTGGCTTTCATATGAACCTACGATTCCATATCTAAGCTACTACTAATCGTCAGTAACAAAAGCATGAACAACATTAACTTCCAACGATAAATGTGTGTGGTTTTATTTGCTTCTTTATACATTTTCCGTTTTTGTTTAAAGTCATTTATAATTTCACTGCCATATTTTGGAAGACTGTTTTTCTGCTTATAATACTGATTCAGAGAATTCAACACAGTTTCAGAAAAAATTATATGATTAACTCAGCAACAGTTAAAATTTCACTTAAAGTTCTCCCAAAGTGAGGAATTTTATTTAAGCTTGTCCAGAAAGGATGGTAGTCTCATTTCGAAAAGTAATCAAATAACATTGTTTTCTTAGAGCATGATTTAAGCCTAATGAGCATGGTTTATCGATCTTATATTCTATATAGTAACATCGGTACAGATTAGACATCAAAACCTAAACGTGATAGTACTAATAAAATTGATATCACGAACCAACCTCAGTTAGACACCCAGGATCGTAAATTGATTGGAGTTCGACAAATTCACCATTAGATTCCGGTTCATTGGTCTGGAGGTTAAACGTTCATTTGTGAAATCAATAGTTCTGAGTTTAATACCTGGTTAGATCATGGATGTGTACTCCTGGGAACTCCAATACTTGAATGAGACAGCTGCTCATCACTTCCGAGTTTTCAATGGATGTCTAACTTGCATCAGTTCGTGATATCAATAAAATTCAGTAATCTTCACAAACCTTTGTCATGATAAAACTATTAATAGACGTTTCCTGTATTTGTTAAATATTTAGCTTCGTCAAATAATATAAAATACAAAACCTATTCAGCTTAGATCTGAATGTAGTAAAGGGTTACTTATATTGTTATTTTAAATTGAGCTCACCTAGGACTTCCAAGATTATTATCTGTTCGCCCGGAGTTTAAAACATTTGAATTAGTTGGTAAAAGATCAGTTCCCATAGGCGTGCCTTGAGATGGTAAAAAAAATGGTGATGTTGATTCCAATTGAGGCAACATCCCTCCAGCTGCTACAACAGCTGTAGCTGCGGCAATCATGTTTTGATCATTTGATAAAACTAATTCATTTATTAATCTTCCAGGTGTACGAGAGGGTTGTTGTCGAGTGTTTAACTCATTTTTGTCAACTGGTTTTGCCCATGTAACTTCTATTTTTGAACCATCGATATAGGTATCTGTAAACAGTAAATGAATTTCATCGTCACATTGAATATGAAAAGCATTTAAACAGTTCGATTGGATATATACAACCCTTGAAAAAGACGAAGAATAGTAAATAACTTGTTTTTTCACACACAATTGTGGGTTTATATAGTTGACTGTAAAAGATATTCACCATGATACCATGAAATATTCCACTTGAAATCATTCAATACAACAGACGAAATACACTTAAACTTATGATTTATTCTTTAGTCAATAAAATGCGTATTTAATCCACAAATTGTTTCCATGCCTTCGTTTCAACAAGGGATTGTTATGGTTCGGGTTGATAGACAATCTCAGTGAATACAGAAATCACTTAATCAGTGCATGATACAGCCAGATTTTATACTGACAAAAGGCACATAGGTATATCATCTAGACAAGGATCGACTGGTAGAACAACAAATTTGGTGAATACTCAAATTACTGCAACATGTAAGAGTCTAAAATAGAGAGTGAGTTAACAGTTGACCATCATTAAAGTTTATTATTTTGTATTATTCAATATTATATCAAGAAGCAGAAATTAAGTGTATATATGTTCTCGGGATTTAAACCACTCTTGTGAAAATCACCATTAAATATATCACCTTCATACCCAACTTTCAGCATATGAAGTAGATCATAAACCCTAAACATTATTATTTACGAGTTAACCCATAACTTTATATCGATTTTTTTTAAAATGTAATTTCTTCTGACATTCCAGCTATACTGTTAACGGACACAATCTGCAAAGAACCAGTAACAGCTGATATTATTGTAGTAGTGTTCCCCTTTCTTCGTTCGTTAAGTGTCATTTATTTGCATGATAACTGCTCGATAAAAATATTTACGTATATTTTACAATCCATTTTCTAAAAAATACTGAAAACTTACATCCACAACCTTTCACTACTTTTCATAAACAGAAATGATTAAGTTAGTCATAATCTAATATTATTATCCATGATCATTGAAAAAAGTATCTTATTAAAATTAGTATCACAATAAAAAATTATTAATTCACATTAAAACATAGATTGGATTCGTTATGAATTGATCTTCAGCCAAGATACCGTTGAAAATAAGGAACCATTAGACAGTTGTTTTTTCTTAGTATCAGACTCTACAGAGATGGGTACTCATCACATCGTCAGGGATTGAGATGAGTTCCTCAAGCATAGACGGAAGTTAGTGACCAGTGGAGTTCAAACACAAGTAGAGATAAAAAATTTAATCAATAGTAGTCAATGATTGTCATTATTTACTGCAAATTGACTGAAGTACTAAGTGTGTAACGCTAGACATCAGTTCAGTGGTTTTAATGGTTAAGCACTTTGTTGAAAACCCTAATGTCTTAATTCCTTCTCATACCAGGACGAAACAAATATCCAATGTTTTTTGGTCTACTATGGCACCTTTAAATGAACTTGACAAACACCTTTAACAGAAGAAAAAAGATTATTTACAAAGCTAGTTTATTTAGATTCGTATTAAATCAGAAAACGTATAAGTAATGTTAGAAATATGTTCTATTCTGTTTTCCAGACAGCAGACTTATATCTATTCACTATTATCTGTTAAAAAAATATCAGCTCATTGTGAATGTAGCAAATATTTGGTTATTCATAAAACATTTAGTCCGATCACGTTTACATAAGACGAAATTTACAATAAAGTAACAAAAAAGAACTGAATTAGGAATTTCTGTTTTCATAAACTTTACTCAAAGGCAAGGATATTGAAAATTTTGAAACATTAACAAAACGTCAAAATGGTACAGTCAGTTGTGTGCTAGATATCTGTGAAATCAGACTTCATAGTAATTCAACAACTGACAAACAAACATTTTTAATTAATGATAACAAGAATTATTCAAGTAAACTTGTTTGATATTTAAGCAAAAATCTCTACAAGTTTGCTTCTTAATACTTTTGGTGTTCTAGCTTCAATTGACTCATGATCTCAACAATTGAAATTACTAAAATCTATATAAAACTCCCATCTGATAATAATTAACATATGCTCATTAGTGACTGACTTCAAGATGTATATCCTGGAGTTCTAGTGAGAAGCAGTGACCAGTGAATTTCAACCGGGTCAGTTGTGAGACAGTAACTCACTGATGACAGTGGTGGATGTGTCGCTCAACTTGGTGGATTAGTTGAAGTTAGACATTAACACCGTTGAATGACGACCAGCTCAGTGGTCTAGTTGTTTAGGCGCCTGACGCGAGACTGATAGCTCCTAGGTTCGAATCCCGCGAGGCAGGGTCGTAGATTTGTATTGATGAAGACTCCCACAATAGGCCGAAATAGCTGCCCAGTGCTTCCAGGTTTTTCATAGTGGTCTAGCTTCAATTGACTCATAATCTTAATTATTGAAATTTTTAATACTTGTGTTAATAACTTTCATAGAAAGATTATGAAAGCTTTATTGGTCATTTACAGTATTTCATGTTTTGCAAACTAAGTAGTCCAAAAGTTCATGAAAATCATCAACAAAAGAATTTAATTAAAATACAAAATGATTAAAATTATCTCGAGAACAATAAACGTTGAATTATTCAATGTCTGTAGACATAAATAGTATATGACACTAATCGGGAGTGGAAAACCTGACAGCAGAAGGTTAAGAAGATAGTGTTGGAGAAAACAGGACGGGAAAATAGAAACAAATTGTGAATTGGAAGAATCATACAGAATATGAAGAACAATTAGTAGAAGATGTCCAAATGAAACATTTAATGTATAGTTCTTATATTATATCAAGATATTCTGTAATTTTACACTGGTTGTCCCTACCTGAGTTTTCGTTCATTACACTACTATAACTAATTTGACATATCAAGTATAATATATTGACTTTAAAAAATATTTAGTTCCTTATTATGATAAATTCATAACTAGTGACCTAATGAAAATAATATATATTTTTTAATTTGATTAATTTTACCAGCCCTTTGTTAATTTGACCGTAACTACATATGGAATCTAAGCAAATTATACTATGGTTAAAAATTAATGATCATCAAGCGATATAAACAGAAAGACCATTCAACTGAAAATTTAACATTAAAATTTATTATCAGAAGGGGTTTTGTGGAGATTTTAGTAATTTCAATAGTTGAAATCATGAATCAATTGAAGCCAGACCACCATGGAAAACCTGGAGGCACTGGACTGCCGTTTCGTTTTAGTGTGGGGCTCAGTGGTCTAGTTGGTTAAGCACCTGGCGCGAGACTGATAGGTCCTGGGTTCGAATCTCGTGGGGGGCGGGAGCATGGATGCGCACTGCTGAGAAGTCCCACAATAGGACGAAACGGCTGTCCAGTGCTTCCAGGTTTTCCATGTCGGTCTAGCTTCAATTGACTCATGATTTCAACTATTAAAATTTATACCTAATTTGTAATTCTACTAGTAATGTGGTACTCCCGACCCATGTAATTGTTTTATGGAGAAAATAACATTTTGAAAGAAACAATTATACAAAAACTCACAAATGTTACCTTTCAGACGATAGAGGATAGCATAGAGGAATAATTCTACTGAGAATTTTAGTTTATATATAACTGACCAGAGAGGTATGCTACTTGATACGAAATTTTAATCATTATTCATTGACAATCTTTATCAAAGCTATCGTAATGATATTAGTTGACTGTTAAATATGTAGCATTTGAAAAGTTTTAAACATAAATTAGCTCTCGTTTCATGCATTACATTTTGTTTTCATGCTCTTCATTCGCAGTGATATTACCTTTTGAAGTCAACAAAGGTTCTGCCTGTGGAAAGAATTGATTTGCCAGACTTATGGTAGTAAAACAATGAATATCAGTCTAACTAATGAGAGATTCATTGTTTCCCAACCGACAGAGAAGTGGGAGATAACTTAGACACTCTTTAACGAAACATAATCCTAACATAATCATCTGATTAAGGTTGTGAACAAACCAGTACCCTTTGTGGATAAATCTAACAAATTCGTGGTCACGTTTAATGGTTATATACTAGAAAGTGTTAGTGAAACCCACTAACTTATCGTCCCTGTACATTTCTCTAAACTCATAGGGAAATGTGAGTATACTAGATTTTATTCAATTGTTTATGTCAAAATTGAGTTACGCAGTTAATGATTGTTATTGATTATCCAGCTTCTATAGAAGTATCATGTTTTGTGATGATAGTAATTTAATCAAGCATTCACCATACGTTGGTATAAAGGCAAAGGATTTCACAATTACTAACAAATTTATTACATGGTAAAGAATCTATAATGAGTATAAGATTCCATATAGCATTTTCATAAACCATCAGATAACAGTTGTTGTAGAATTTATTGAATTTAACTGAATTGAAATTGTAGTTTTGTACATTGCAGCTCTATTTATAGCTTTTAGATTGTGCTTTCATAATAATAAGTTTACATTTGTACTTCAACAGAGCATGATAAAAATAATTCATATTTTTAGCCAAAGTCAAGACAATTAAACCAAGGAATATGCTATGCGTATTCGTCCATGATAAAAAATTTCTTATAAAAATCAGAGAAAATCAAGTATATGGCAACTCAAACTGATGTACATGCGTACGAAGTTCCACGTTGTTACTGACTGACTGACTAATTCAACAATTTGTTTATGAAATACAGAAAAAAAGGAATATTTTTTTCATAAAATTGGTAAAAGAAAGCTTTAAGCAAATGAAAAATCTTTTGGTAAGGGCTTGTACTTACTGATTGTTATCATTGTAGACTAAAACTTATCAGTTCTTAATGGAATAGATTCATTCTGATTAGACAGACTAGACATTGGGATTTGGTCACTAGTTTGGGTAGTTCAATTGTGACTAACATTAAATTCTTCATATGAAAATCCTTAATCCATATTTTAATTTCATTTTGTTGACCTATTAAATAAGTTACAGCAAATTCGTAAAATACGGGTAACCAGATATTGAACTGCTTTCAGACTGTAATTTGAAGAACAGTGGTATTATCGTTTACCTATGGTAGTTTAATCATTTCTGGATAAAATAGCTGATATGTTTTAGAAATTTTAATATTAAGAGGTTTATACTTTAGTCATCTACTATTCTCTGAAAGTGAGAACAATGGGAGTATTGGTTGAAAAGCAGTTATATGAATTCTTTTTATTTTGTGAGTTTTCATTAGTTGCTAACAAAGTCAAACTACTTAAATATATTGACTCGATTGAACTATACTGTGTTTTATGATCGAAATCAGTAAAAGCCTTTAAAATGACATGAGTTATCAATTAAGTTATCTAAATTCAATATCATTAGGTGAATATTATGGAAAACACTAACATATATCAAATGAACTGTTGTCTAAAGCAATTGAAAATCGATTAATTTCCTACGCATTTTATGCAAAACTATATTCATTAATTTCTATGTACGTGATAAAACGCATCAATTAGAAGAACAAATAAAACGATTAGCTTAAGTTGTTTTAAAAATATTCTAGAGGTTGTGAATTAAGAGAGCTAAAATCTTTAATTGTGAAGTTTTGTGACCTTTGATCAATAACTTATATAGAATGTCGATATTTCAAAGTCATTTAATATAATCAGAAGGGGGGTATTGTGGAGATTTTAGTAATTTTATAGTTAAATTCATGATTCGATTCAAGCTAGACCATCATGGAAGACCTTGAAGCATTGGATGGCCATTTCATATTAGTATGGGACATCTTAGCAGTGCGCATCAGTCTTAGACGTGAGTGCTTAAACCCTAGGCCACTAAACCGGCATCCAATGGATCAGGACGAAACGGCCATCCAGTGCTTCCAGGTTTTCCATGATGGTCTAGCTTAATTTTATCAGTTTAAAAACTAACACAGTTTATTGTATTTAACAGAATCAGTTGCTGTCAAAACACCTAATGTATACATACTGATAGTGACAGTTCTTTGTTCATTAATGTCATGCTAATGTAGATTTTCTTATCTACTTTTGATTTATTTATCTATTTATATTTATATGCTGACATCTATCCACTTCAAAATGCATTTACTTTCGCTGTTTGATTTATATTTACTTATTCCACTAGACTTGTATTAAACCTCTGAATATTCTCGACGAAATTATTGTATAACATTTTGACCGTTTTCATCGTCAGGTTAATTTATCTTTAGCCTATACATAACATAATCTGAAGCTTTCACATACAGATCATATTTATTTGTTTATTTGGACACATAAATATTGGTACAAGAGGGCACCAAATATATATGCGCCACACAAAACAATGATATTTGAAGAGAAGGGAAAAAAGAAGCTTATGAGAAAAAAAGAAAAGAACAGATTAGTGTAAGGTAGTGTAGCAATAATAATAACAATGGGGGAAACGGAGAGGTACAACCAGAAGAATTCTCTCAGTTAAGGAAGATACAACCACTTTTTATGAAGAAAGTAAAAGAAGGTTACAGCAGAATCGCCAATGGCTTCTATTCTGAGCCACTGTTTTGCCCCATCTCTCAGACCCAGCCAGGGAGTCGTGAAGGACCAACACAAGCCAGCCCTTTGCAGCTTTATTTCATAACACGACACCATGTCATACCTCTTCGCCTTTTCCAACCAGTCCCAGAGTTGGCAAATAATGCACGACGTGGAATTCTCTGGGACGACATTCGTAAAACATGTCCAAGCCACCGAAGTCGATGTTTCAAGATGGTGACACGAATTGAATTATCGTCTCTGCGCCCGAACACACGATGCCGAACCTCTGCATTACTGACATGGTGTTGCCACTGAATGTCATCAATCCTTCGGAGACAGCGATGATCGAATACAGAGAGTTGTCTAACATTCTCAACTAGGAGAAACCAGGTTTCACAAGCATAGGGCAAAACTGCTCTCACCGTCGTGTTGTAGATCCGACCTTTTACAGCCAGACTAACATCACGAAGGCGCCAAAGATGGCCCAGATTGGCATAAGCCGCTCTGGCTTTCACTATGCGTGCATTGATCTCATCACTCATGCCACCACCAGCGCTTTTGCAGCTACCTAGATACACGAACTTCTCGACTACTTCTATCTGCTCACCATCCAGAGTGAGTGCAGGATTAGAATCCTGCCAGTCTTGTAGAAGTACTTTGCACTTCAAAAGTGCAAAGCACATACCATACCTACGGACACTGATTGCCAACTGATTAAGTGTGGATCGCATGGCTTGGGTATTATATAAATTGATTGATAACCGTAATGATAAATCTTGTCTTTTTAACCGTATCGAGTTTAGTATCTTATTTATACGATACTATGGTGTACGATTCAATACATTTTAGTGATTCCATTAAGTCTATAAACAGATCATAAGAAAAAAAATACATATACTTGTCCTTCAACTGTTATTCGTGTTGTTTTCAATTCGCGAAGGGTTTGTAGCATTAAATCCTTAGAATATGTTAAGAAATGAAGAAGCATATATTGGTATTACAACAACTAAGTATTGTTCACAAGATATTAGTCAGTAAATAGTTATCAACTCATAATCTGATAGAAATATTTCTTAACCTAAATTCAAATGCCACATTAACACAACAAGATTGAAGTAAAAAAAGATCAATAACCGAAGATTCAAAGTACTATATTATTCCAATTGTTGTGATCATGAGTCAAGTGAAGCTAGACCATCATGGAAAACTTGGAAGCACTGGACGGCCGTTTCGTACAGGGATCGTGGATGCGCACTGCTGAGGAATCCCACAATAGGACGAAACGGCTGTCCAATGCTTCCAGGTTTTCCATGATGGTCTAGCTACAATTGATTCATGATCTTAACAATTAAAAGACATTTAATTATGATAGCTATTCTTAAAATCTTTTTTTCTAATCATCTTATCATAAAGAATGTCTACTTTAAAAAAAAGAATAAAGTTGAGTAATGGTACATTTAATCTATATATCAGTTTATATAAACAATTTATATCATAAAGAATTAAATATTAGTAGAATGAATTATGCTAATAGTATTATTTTATAAAGAAAACTCAATGACACATTTAAATTTCGGTTAATTCATGTGAAACACATGTACTAACTTATTATTGTATCTAAATACAAAAATGAAAAAAGATACTATATTTTTCTAATACTTTACTTTTTTTGTTTTTTTTTATAATCAGTTTGAATAAATCTAGCAACGTATAATAACCGATAAAAGTTACATCTAATTAGCATAAGTTTGAAAAAGGAAAAAATAACCAAATATGTTTTCACTGTGCAACCTTTTACAAGATTAAAAAATATATATACACATTTTTGACTACTAAGGAACAATAGATTTACATATATAATTCATCTTGCTAATGCAATATATATATATATATATATATATATATATTGATTATACTTTTCAGATATCTACAAGTAAGTAATAATCTAACACTTGGTGTACTGAATAATTAACTCTCAACCTAGTTATATGAAAATAATGAAAATAGATACCGATGCTGACGTATAACTAATGATTTTATTATTATTATTATTATTGTTATATGTATTAAATGTAACTGGATTTATTCTCGAGCTAATTCAAATTCTACATTAATCAGGTAATTGCAACGTAATCAAAATTTGCATATATATATATATATATATATATATATATATATATATATATATATATATAATTATTTTTTTGAACACATAGATATTGGTAAAAGAGACACCAAATACATATGCGCCACACAAATCTCATTTGATTTGTGCAAGGGCTGTGATGCTACCCGGGTGCCCAAACTCAACCAGGTGGTTTTCTTAGGGAGCCACACCCGAAGCCTTCGACCTGAAGGTCTGATCCACAAGGCAGTGGAGCATTGTATATATATATATATATATATATATATATATATATATATATGGATATTCTCATGAGAATAATTTGTATTATTTATTCAAACTCATGGGATTCGGTACTAAGAGATACCAAAATATATATACTTCACATAAATCATTGTAGTTGTATATGGATGCCCAAATCGCAAATGGTTTTCTTAAGCGACAATCTCTGTAGCCATTGACCTAAATGTCTAATCTGCAAGGAAGTGAAGCAATGTTAGAAGTTCCAATCCCATGGTAGTCAATAACAAAGGACAGGTTTATGCACTATTTATTCCCTCATAATCTAAGGGCGCATGTGTATCATTGGCTTAGGATCAGATTTTCCTAGCTCCTTTAAAGAGATCCTCCGTATTCATCAACCCGGTTTAATTGCTGGATATTCTCTTTTGGTTTTTTCAATTTCGTAAACAATACCCTGACCGAGAGGAGGAAGTGAGCAGGACTTGTATGAAAATAGCTATATACATGTAGACATATGAGAACATTTTGAGAGAGAGGACTTTGTCTACCTTCGGCTGTACCATGGCGGGCTCAGAATAAACCTTAATCGTATAAAGATCATCAAGATATCAACTAAGTATCAAAGTATAACTTTGAGATTATAGTTACAATTATTGTGTAAGGAGTATAAATTTTACTTGCCTTTCGAAACTAAAAATATATGGAAAGGATTTCGAAATTTGAGAATCAGACACACCGTTGAATCATTTGACCATCAAGTCAGTGTTAAATATATAAAGATGTTTGTCAGTGGTACTCCCCTACCGAAAACTGAAGTGAATATTGAATCATAGTGTCGGGTAAGCTAAAAACATCCAGAATATAAGAGTAATAGTTGAATATACACGTATTTAGATTTTATTTACGAGTCGATGTATTGTTTTCCTTCATAAAGTTTAGCAGGTAACTTAGTCTTAATACTCAACCTACTATTGGTAAATATATACATGTATATAATATATATGAGGATTTTCAACTTACCGTTTAAAGTATGCAGACATTGTAAAGCTTGTTCACGCTCTCTGAAGTGAATAAACGCATAATCACTTATTTTCTTTACTCTTTCAACACTGTTAGGATCACCACCGGCAGCTTTTATAAACGAATCACGCAAACTCTCTTCTGTAGTTGACAGCATTAGATTGCGAACGTATAAAATTTTTACCTAAAATGATAAATTAGTTATTTCAAGTCTATCACTGACAGACCTAGTCATTGAAATACTGTTTAAATAAATGTCAAAAGTGGAATGACACTTCCAAATAGATTAATTTTGTCTTTTTATTCATCCATCGCTCATAGATTTAAATTTTTCTAGTTTTGCTCTTGTGAAATTCTACATTGAAAGAACAGAAATATTAAAACTCTGTCTTATCTTACAATGCTGCTTTTCTTATTTTTAACGGACGATTGAACCCTTTTATAAAAACAATATGGTAAGTGGATTTAATGTTAAACAGATTCGTCACTATTAGTCCCTTTTATAAATTTTGATAGAACAGATCAATTCCGTTTTCTCATTGTTCTATCGAAATCAATATAAAATCTTAAATGCCTATTGAAGTATCTCATTCTCATTAGATTTCTTATAAAGTCTTATATTTACCATAAATTATATCAAACTATACTTTATATAAATCAAATACTCATATGTATGTTGATTATCATTAAAATAGTTGAATTTTGTATTATGTACACAAAGATTCTTATTCACTTTTATTTCCTGTTAGATTCAATTAAAGTCTTCTAATCTTATTATCTAAGTAACATTTTATGTATCAACAAACAAGAGAGTTCATAGACTATTAAAAGTTCGTATAGTGAAAGTAACAGTAATAATAAACAGAATAACTCACTTTTGACATAATATCCTCATTAACCTCTCTTTCTGGTTCGGCCCAGTCAACAGCTATTTGGTGACCCCATAAATGAATGTGTCCAGGAAGTAGTTTACGTCTAGCCATTGCAGCTGCTTTATGACTACCGTACTCGATGAATGCGAATCCACGATTTTTTGTTTTATCAGTTACGCTTGGATACGATATTACATCTTTGACTCCATCTGTTACTCGTTTCATTTCAGATAATATTTCTTCTCTTGTTTTATTCTTAGGTATTCCTCCAACAAATAAACGACAATTATCTACACTTAAGCATACTCCGATTGTCTTTCCTTTTCGAATTTCATAATTGTTAAGTTCTTGAACTGCTCGTTTAGTATCTTCTCTGTTAGTGTATACACAAAAACCGAAACCTCGATTTATACCATTAAGTTCCATCATTAATCGAAACATATAAATTGGTCCAATTTGTTCAAAGACAGGAATAAGTTCATCTTCAAAACAGTCCCTAGGAATTTTTCCAATAAATACCTCACAACCTCTTGGAGGTGCCTCACATTGCCAATTTGGTGGTGGTCCATAACGTCTCTGCCCATTCTCTTGTACGTAAGTATATTTTGTACGTTCAAGTAAACTAACTATTGCTTCTTCAGTAGAAAGTGTAGTAACATTTTGATTCTCTTGCTTTCCTAGGATATCATTCGAAGTAGACATAGCAGATTCTCTTGTTGATGTGGTAAATGTAGTGACAGTTTGTGGCGTACTTAACTGTAAACTCGTGATATCTTTGGTTTGTAAGGTTATCAAGCTGACGGCACTTTGGTCAACATCAGATACTAGCATGACGATAATAATAACAAATCACAATGAATGACCATAGAATTTGTTTTGTTCATTAACTGTATATGTGTCTATTTGTGCACTGTAGCCAAACTATGTGCACAACTCGTTAGAAAGTTGAACTCACTATTAAGCTTTACTTGATTTTGATTGGAGACTTATCTAAAGCCTGTGACCTTGGTATCAGCTGAGTGTTATCTGTAATGAACTTACTATTTGTTATCAAATAACATTAGGTATTCAAAAATGTGTTTGTATCAAATGTTGACTTGTAAAATTTCAGATAATTTAATTCACTCAAAGTGAATGTGTAAATTTAGTTTTATTAAGTTTATTGTCAGTACATCGAATTTAATTGATAGATTATGTCATATTGGCAGTTAGTCGATTAAGTAAATAATTTAAATTGTTGAAGGTCATCATAAAATTATTCGCATGTTTTACACTAGTCAGACGTATGTTATAAGCTTTTAATAAACTAATTAATTGATAAATTTATTATTAGTTATTTTTTGAGTAAAACTTAACCTTCAGGAATAAATAATAATAATTTTACTAAGAAAATAACCATAAAAATACTAAGACATAGAATGATGTGCCATACTAGAATGAAACGACCGTCCGGTGCTCTCAGGTATTCCATAGTGGTCTAGCTTCAATCGACTCATGATTTCAACTATTGAATGATGTTAAACAAATTTGAGTTTAATTCATACTTACTTACTTACTTACGCCTGTTACTCCTAATGGAGGATAGACCTCTGACCAACATACTCCAACCCACTGTATCCTGGGCCTTTCTTTCTAGTTCTATCCAATTGTTGTTCTTTTTTCTCATGTCTGTCTTCATTTCTTGGCGTAATGTGTTCTTTCGTATTCCTCTTCTCCTTTGACCCTGAGGATTCCAAGTGAGGGCTTGCCTTGTGATGCAGTTGGCTGTTTTTCTCAATATGTGTTCTATCTACTTCTAGCGCTTCCTCTTGATTTCTTTCTGCATTGGGATCTGGTTTATTCTCTCTCACAGTAGGTTGTTGTTGTACTGTACTATGCTTGAAAATCCTTTGATGTGAGACATGACTAGATTTTGTTTAAACGTTTCAATCTCTCAATAAATGATGGACGCATATTTTTGTCCCTTTTAAGAGTGCCAAATACTTATGTTATTACATGCTATTTGAATAGGCATTTTATACGGAGAAAGTTTAAATCTTTTATAAAAATCTAGTGAATAAACATAAAATCACAATATACTATACAGCTACAACAAGTTGTTTCACTTAAAGACATTTTTCCCTCTATTTATGTTCAACTTGTATCGAATTAAAATAGATATTAAGATCTAATTGAATGTGGGGCAAACCTTGAAAATAGTAATCAAAATATCACTTGCTCACTGGTTCTTAGTTATTCTCCAAATAATATTATTTTATAATGAAAGCTATCCTTCGAATGAATTACATTTTTACAAAACTTTGCTTCGATTGAAAAATTAAATAAATTTAAAAGTATATGGGATTAAAAACTATGAGATACTATAAGTTGGTTCATTTGTTTCACAGGGGATAATTTAGATATTTGATAACAGAAATCACAAGCTATAAAGTTGCACTATTCTTCGGATCTAATCTTACATGATATATTTTATTTACATAGTGAACAATTCATGTCTCAGTAGGCTATAATCTGTGATCTGAAACATTCATTACCTGTTTCATTCGGCTATAGATTTATCAGCAAATGTCAAGATCAACGTGGTTTATCAATGGTTAGTTATGAATCTTATAGGATCTTAATGTTACACGAAATAAGAAATATTGATCTACAATAATTAATGGCATTTAAATGAAACTGATCAAGTCTACTATAAAACGTACTAGTAAGTAAAGTAGAAGTAATTTCCCGTCTGTTTTGAGTTGATCATATTTGAATGAAATAAATGAAAAATTCTTGGCCTTTAATTGAATTCTTTCAATTTCTGCTTGAACTTAAGCAAGCTGAACTATTTTAGAATTGACGGAAATCTAATTATGGCTCCTAAATAACCATCAAATTAAGTGATATTTCAGCCTTTAAGTTACTTATCGTTATTCTAATTCCTAACCTCTTGGACCACAGGTTCACTGTACTGGCATAATGATATTTTAATAACTAAAGTAATTACTAACAAAAATAGTGATCAAGTCCTGATTTGTATCCTACAGTGAACATAAAATTCGTAAGTTAGGGTCAAAAGGAAAGTTAAAATCAATAAGTAAATAAGTGGTATAGGTCTGGCAAGTATTGTTGGCAGTCTACCAACAGTTTGTAATTCATCGATTTATCCGGCCTTTATTCAGAAACATCCCTAGTTTCAGCTCCCCTTTTTATTTCTGTTATTTTCAATATTATATTACTTAAAAGTTTGATGATCGTGGATGAACACAGCTGAAGAGTCCCGTACTAAGATAAAATGGTCGTTCAGTACTCTCAGGTTTTCAACGGTGGTCTAACATTGATTACTTCATTATTTCAATAAAATGTAACGATCTCCATAACGATAAATTGAAAAGGAAAGCTTTTGTTTGACTGATACCTTCAACGGAAGTGTCACTTGGAAATGTATCTATTGTGCAAAAGTATAAGAAGTATCAAGATAAAAATTATTTATTATTGTACATAAAATGAATCTTTCCACTACTAGTTATTTGATTTCTCGTAGTCTCAATATATTTTTAACGATGTTGGTGTCGCTACAAATGAAGAATAAGATGAGATTATAGTTTATTTGGAACTATGGTTATCAGTGCATCAGTCTGAAATGTTCAAATTTAATTATCACTTTTTTTAAGATAATAGAATTTTTCACTTTCAAAACTGTTAGTTTTACATCTTTAAACATCATAAGACTTTTTCTAATGTAAAGATATGCTTTTTAAACATGAGTTGACAAATACAAATCTATACCAAAGCCAATTCTTATGTCACGTACTGAACATACAATATTTAATCTGAGATCTACTAACACTTTACTAACTATTGAAATAAGTTTTGGTTAAATATCTTTGAATTTTCGTGTAGGAGTATTGATCGTACAAGTTAATAATCAGTTATGAGCAATAATTAGTGATGAAATCGATAGAAATAAAGAGCGTAATTAACTTAACTAGTAGGTGTATAAAGAAGGTGAATTGAAAGAGTAACTGATAATAGAAATATTATCCTGAAATATGAAGTATTGACTAACGATAATGAAAATTGATTAAAGTAACAGATGCAAGACCGGTAGAGGAGATTTCGAAGTCTTTTTTTCGATCGCGAGATAAGAAGGACAGCAACATAGGCCCACCAGCTTTACGAAAGTTGGATACATGAATGTAGTGTTAAAAGAGGGATGTGAAATAACATATCCTTATTGTTTGATTTTAAGTCCCAAATATTGTTGGAAAGGATTACAATTTACACTATGTAGAATAATGGTTAAATCAAATATAGTTTCATCATATTGCCCTCATTCGATAATGATTCTTGTTTATAAATTCGGATAGTGCAATAAGATAAAGATTGTCAGGACTGTGATATATTAATGCAATGCATTTCGAATGATTTGATCATATATATATATATATATATATATATATATATATATATATATATATATATATATATATATATATATATATATATATATATGTTATGAACATTTATATATAAAAGCAAAAGGTCAAATAAACTAATGGAAGGTAAGTAGAAACAAAGATAATAAAGACAATAATGTAAAAGGCAATGTGAAACTCACTAGGCTGGGTAATCAAATATTACTAGGGTAGGTTTAGGGTGAGAACGAGCCGTCTTTGAATACACAAAGAGGGTTTGCATTTCCATATGACTGAGGCTTCAATAAATTTTCGTACATGCTCCGGGTTAAGATCAATCTTGTGCCCCATTTCAACTTTGTGTTTGGCACCAGAACTCCTCCTGAAGCCCCTCTGGGGCTACTGTCAATCCCAAGCCCGGATAAAGGAGGAGGGTTGGGTATGAGGTTACCGGCCACGTCCCGTGGAAAACTAATTCGCTAAAAAGACGCTAACCAGAAAAAATAGTTCAAACCACTTAAACTCTGTCCTGGGAGTTAGAAGGTCTTCATTTAGAAGAGTTATGACGTCTCATGATGAAAGTCGAGTTACTTCAAAAGTCACGAGGCTGATGCCCCTTCTGACTACCAGAGCAACCATTAATTTAGGTACATGAAATGCTCGTACAATGTGGGAGACCGGGAGAGTCTTCCGAATTGCTGCTGTTTGGTACTAGAGGGCGATGGATATTTATCATCTACTCTTATTGGATCACTTGATTTCATTTGTTTTCACAACCATTCAGGTACATGTTTAGTAACCCTAATTCGCAAACCAAGATTCCTCCCCCTTATGTATGTGTGACAACACACATAATGGGATGTAACACAATCGTTTATATGCCTTTTTGTTGAAACAGGAAACTTGTTTTCTCCCTGATAATGACCTTTTCTGAGTAGTACATTTTACAAATAACTGACGTGAGTCTTTGTTTCAACAAATGGCTATTTGACACACCTCTGAACAGTAGAGTAATGTAAACAGGCTTTTTCTGTTCCAAAGATGTAATGGGCCTCACTACACTTTGACCCGCCGATTTATTTACCAATTTCAGGGAATAACCTTTTTCTATTTATATGTGTTTAACAACCTTATTTCATCATCAGTAACATCGTTTGTGCAAGTATGATCAATCATATTAGGTGGGCCACTTATCAAACCCCGTTTGTTTTGAACTGGGCAGTAACTATGTCAATAAAGGTACTGGTCTTTTCAAGATAGCATTCTAAAAATTGATCGTTTGATTGTACCCACTTCTCTTCTACTTATAAGTATATGTATGAAAGGAAGTTGATTTTATTCAATAAACAATTTATACTCTCATTTTTTCGCAGATAACTAAGATGCTATCCAAATATTTCTTATAAAAAAGACATATTTTTGATTAGGCTTTCACTTAGATCTTCAATAAATGTGATGAGCATATCAGCTAACACTGGTCCTAACGGACTATCTACA